TTTAACGAGAATCTTTATTTCCTTTTCATTGAATTTAGGCAATATTTGAACATGCGAACTAAAACTTGAATCTAGCGAATAGACCCTCTAACCAAAACTAGACAAATAAATACTGAAAGTCCATCTAAAAGACTGGATCTTGGATCTCAAAACCCATTCTTTAATCTTGATTGACCAACAATTATTAACAAAGTGGTAGGTAATTAAGAAGAGTATTCCCTAATCTTTTACCCACAAGATAAAAGTGGGAACACAGAAAAAATTGAAATCCAATTGTGGGCTATGTGGGCCCACATTCTAACCTAAATATAGCTTTCAAACACAACATCCATACAAATCCCAACTTGTAAGAATTCTCATTTATCCCTTTTATTATCTCTATCTTTAATCTTTCCACCTCTTTGTGCCTCCTCAATGACCGCAAACGTTGAATTTTATCTTCAAGATTCAAACTTTCTCCTTTTGATATCATACTTTTCAATATTGTTAAACTAGTCACTCAATTTGTTCACACTTGTACTCTACCCTCACAATTTGACTAGCAATCTCATAAATGTAGAATAAAAAAAATACTTAAAGTAAATTTTATTTTGAAATGTATATAATATACTAATTTTCTCCTCGATTTAAATAAAAATCGTTAATCGTTAATATAATTTGATTCTCGTTATTTTTAAAATACATTTTATCACCATTTTTTCCAACCACACGTATTTCAATAAAATAATATTAAACGCAAATTCAAAATTTTTCATTATTTTTCAACAGCACATTCTCCATCAATTTACTGTTCCAAAATGTATTCTTAAGAACAAAATGAGACTCAAACAGGCTTTAACTAGAAAAAAAATAATGCTTTGAATTTTAATTAATATTCCTTATTGTAATACCTTTGGTATCGAAAAATAATGTCAAATTTCGTTTGAATAGCTTTAACTCATAGACACGAAAAAATTAAATAAATCGAATATTAATTGTAATTATTTTTCACTTATACAAAACAATATATTTGGAATTGTTTCACAAGCTATGTGAAAGGAGTAGATAATTTCAACATTACTTAATTGACCAATTATTTGTTGACATGTCACTAACATTTATCTACCATGATATACGAATGCAATTCAACTTTGCCCACACTTTTCTTTATCAATCCTACAAGGAACCCTACAATTCACCGTTCCTTTTTCCTTTCTCCTTTAACCCCTTTTTGGAAAGAGGAAAAAAATACCAGAAAAGGTGATTTGATGAGTGAAAAAATTAAGCCCAGAAATTCAAACCAACCCTAAATAAGAATAAGCTTAGAAAGCCAGGATTTTTTAAATTTTTTTACCACAACTGTTAAGCCTTCACGTCTAAAATTTGAGGGGGGAAAAAGGCTATTTTTTTACCTTGTTTTCCTCAGAAGATTTTGGATTTACCAAGTGAAGTCAAGTCATGTTGGATAGTTCAGTTTTCTTGGAAAATTCTGGTGTTGACGGTGCTGATGGTAGTGGTACAAGTGGTGGCGCTGCCTCTCATGGGGTGGCTATGGAACATAGAAATGAGGGTGGTAGTGGCGACGGCGGTGAAGATTTTGACCGGAATTCACCTGGTAATCGGTGGCCACGTGAGGAAACTTTGGCTTTGTTAAAGATAAGATCCGATATGGACCGTGCATTTCGCGACTCCATTCTTAAAGCTCCTCTCTGGGACGAAGTTTCTAGGTATCCTTTCTATTTCACTCCCTTCAGTTCTGATTTTCGAGTATATCTGAATCAAGAATTATTTCTGTATAAACCTTTTAGCTGTAGAGTTTGTATTTTTGATTTATTAATAGTCAATTCTTTATTAATCAGATCAGTATGCACTGCGTTGAGTAATTTGATTACTCACTTGCTGTAACAATTGAGTAAATTCTGGTAGTTTCTAGAAAGAGATTGATGCTAATAACTTTGATTATTTGTTATTTAAACCAATTCTCTCCTTGTCGATTGAAGTTGATGTTTTCGTTGAAGTGTGTTGACTATGCTTTGTCCCGAAAGGCATATAGTTTTGTTCCTATGTTGATTTCTGAATTCTAAAGCCGGAATAGGACAGGCAGTGGATTTTATTATGTTCATTTTATTCAGGAAATTAGGTGAGCTTGGATACAATCGAAGTGCCAAGAAATGCAAAGAGAAATTCGAAAACATCTATAAGTACCACAAAAGAACGAAAGAAGGCAGATCCAGTCGGCAAAATGGGAAAAACTATAGATTCTTCGAGTTATTAGAGGTTTTTGATAATCAACTCTCAGTTCCATCGACTCCCTTGAACCAAGTCCAAACGAACCTGACGGAAACAACAGCAACGGCACCGTTAAGGGTAAATCCCTTAAATGCATCTCAAGATTTTAGGGTAGTACCTTGTTCGAATCAAGATCCGGATACTGAATTCATGCCCACCTCTACATCCTCCTCGGGGGAGAGATCTGAAGGAAGTGTTGAGAGAAAGAGGAAATTAGCAGAATATTGTGAGAGATTAATGAAGGATGTTTTGAAGAAGCAAGAGGACTTACAGAACAAGTTCTTAGAAGCCGTAGAGAAATATGAGAGGGATCGGATGGCAAGAGATGAAGCATGGAAGGTGCAAGAAATGGCTAGAATAAAGAGAGAACAAGATTTTTTAGCCCAAGAACGAGCAATTTCTGCTGCAAAGGATGCAGCCGTGCTTGCATTTTTACAAAAGATCTCACAGCATTCAACGACACTGCAAATGCCGGAGATCCCATTTTCGATATTTGAAAAACACTTGGAGACACAAGATAATGTGTTGGAGAAGCGCATTGACAAACAAGAAAATGGTGTTGGGAAGACTTCAAATCATGCTGATAAACAAGAGAATAGTATTGGTGAGAATACTACTCTGATGAGCTCTTCAAGGTGGCCAAAAGCAGAAGTTGAAGCTTTGATTATGCTTAGAACCGATCTTGATTTGAAATACAACGATAGCGGGCCGAAAGGACCCTTGTGGGAGGAGATTTCTTCTGCCATGAAGAAGCTTGGTTATGATAGAAGTGCAAAGAGGTGTAAAGAGAAATGGGAAAATATAAACAAGTATTACAAGAGAGTAAAAGATAGCAACAAGAGGCGGCCTCAGGATTCGAAAACTTGTCCTTATTTCAACTTGCTCGAGTCTGTATATGCAAAGAAGTCTAAAACCGAACATACTTCAGAAAATTCGGGTTACAATATGCAGCCTGAACGTATTTTATTGGAAATGATGGGCCAACAACAACATCAGCCTCCTCCACCACAGCCACCACAGCAGCAACATCAGTCAGGGGCAGAGGATGGTGAGAGTGAAAATCAAAATCAAGAAGACAATGCTGAGGATGAAGAGGATGACGACAATGGAGATGGTTATCAGATTGTTACTAATATTCCCTTTTCATTGTCAACCATGGGTTAAGGTGACGAGAAGCAGAAACTTTCATAACATCGTAACTGTTCTTGACGACCCCCCTTGGGAATTTACCAGAGAGGAGAAAAGCAGGTCAGACTCCGGTGCTGAGGATACTTTGTTGGCATGTTTCACAAGGTGGATTAGATAACGTTGGACAAAATTAATGTCCAGTCGTATCCGATTCTACGTACCAAACATGCTCTATATATATAGTGTTAATTAAGTCAATATGTTTTTTGGGATTATGGTAACATAGATTATTGTTTGGTGTGTGATGTAACATAGTGATAGTACCTTTTCTTCCTATTTATACTGCACAATGCACACCTTCCCTTGTACAAGTTTAGTAGTTTGTTGGTTGAGTTTGCTTGTCTTAATAAAGGCCAGTTATTTATCACTATAATTATATTTCAATAAATGTTGAGATGGCCAGTTTAATGCCATGGGACCAGATTATTTGATCTAATCTTTCTTTTGCTTTTATGTACTGTAGATGAATATTACTATAATTTTCTCACTTTTATATTATTATACATAAAAATAAAATTTAATGACAGCCTATCAATTTCCAGCTTATTAATGGGTTTCAATCCCCAAGGAGCCTATGTTAAAGATAAAACTATATTGAACAAAATTACAAACTATAAATAATTGGTAAATATATTACTGAATAACTACACAGTAATAAAAAATATATTTTTAATAAATACACTAAATCATTAGGTCGTTTTGACCTCATTTTTCAGAAAAATAGATTTCGTTATAATAATTTTTTGAAATTTGAATGATTGAAAAGTGGGGAAATTTTTTGAATTTACGAGTAAAATTATTTGAGAATATGTAATTAGAAGTGAGTTTTGTGAAAAATGAGTTCTTGATGGGGTTCAAAGGTGGGCATTATAAAAATACAGTCTCTCTGTCATCTCAATCATTGAAAATGGGTAATTTTTTAGGTGGTGATTTTTAGTTTCTGATTGGTTGTATCGTAATGGGGGCGGTGAGTGGGGGGTAGCCTGGTTGAGAATCTTGGGATGACTTCTTTTTCTTTTTTTTGGCTGGGAATTGGCAGCTCGCGGCCGGCAGGCATGCAGAATCACTGAATCTGCATATCATTATCAGCCTCCGGTCGCCCCAAAACATGGAACGACCGTCCGGTGATAAAAGATGATCCGGGATGGTTTCACCTAGTCCACTATATTGAATATTGTAGGGGTGGGCGCGAGTCGGGTCGGTTTGGTTTTTTTCGGTTCCAGAAATTTTCGGGTATTTAGTAAATGGAACCGTCGGTTCCAAATATAATTTTGGAACCATTCGGGTTCGGTTCGGTTCGGTTCCGTACTATAATTAAATTTTTTAACATTTAAAATAATA